CCCCCCCCCCTCCGCCCCGGCCCCCCCCCCCCCCCCCCCCCCCCCCAGTCTATTAAGTAATGTCCACAGCAGGAAGAGACGCATGTGACCTGCTGGGCTCAGCTCAAGGCAAATCCTTTTAAATGAGGCTCTCAGAAGCTGCTCGAGGGCTGCTGCTCTCAGCACCGAGTGCACAAAGCGAACCTGACGGGGAGAGAGAGGCAGAGCGCGGGCAAGAGAGGGAGGGGGTGGGCGAGCGAGGGAGGGAGGCAGGGAGACCAGGCCTGGAACTAGTTCAACCCACCCCCTCAACTGGCACTCAGCACCAGGCTGAATACCCAGAATAGGTCCGCGTGCACACGTGTGTCCGTGCGGGTGTGCACGCGCTCATACCCACGTGCATGTTCCGGCACGTGAGCAGACCCGTGTCACGCAGCTGAAGAGCGGGGGTAGGGGGCAGAGAGGGCGAAAGAACAGCCGGGCAGCTGGATGGATGTCCTGCATGCTTATCTTACGTTGCCAAGTGTGTGTGGGTGACCGACCCTCCGCTTGTGATTTTACGTACATTTATAGCTCTGCTCAAACTATCTGCTGGGTTACATCATTACTTGTCATCTGTGAAAGCCGGTAAGGGACCCTTGAGGTGATCCACCACTCTGATGGAGGAGAGAGAGCATGAGAGAGAGAGAAAGAGAGACAGAGAGAGAGACACCCCAAAACTCAGTTGTCTAAGGCGTGCCTGTGTCACCCGTTTCAGTGCGGGGCCCAAGGGAGACAACATCTACGAGTGGAGATCCACCATCCTGGGACCGCCGGGGTCCGTGTACGAGGGGGGGGTCTTCTTCCTCGACATCGCCTTCACGCCCGACTACCCCTTCAAACCGCCTAAGGTAAAGCCCCCCCCAACACGTGGGGCCACATGGTTTAGATGTCATTTATATGTTCACAACATGTGTGCATGCAACTGCAGCATAACCGTGTTTATGTTTGCATGTGTGTGTTTTGTGAAATCATGTGTTCTCTCATCTGGGTGTCTGTGCGTTCACAACACAACTCTGTATTCACTTAGGTGTTTATTTGTGCGTGTTAACTGTGTGCCTATGTATTCATTCAAATGTCAATTTATTTGTGTGTATTTTTACAGTTTTCCTGCATGTATGTGTGTGTGTGTGTGTGTGTGTGTATGTGCGTGTGTGTGCGTGTGTGTGCATGTGTATATGTGCGTATGTGTGTACAGTGTGTGTGTGTGTGTCCAGTGTGCCTGACCATTTATTTCCATTTCTTGTCTACAGATTTTATGGTAGATTTACAGTCAGTTTGATGGTCCAAAAATGCCAAGGAAGATTCTTAAATCTGGGTGTGTTTTAGTTAAGAATATAGCAAGGGTGTATGATTGGTTTTAACATAGGTTACAGTATTGTTAGGCACGCATCCCTACGGTCCATACCCAGATCTGCACCCTTGGAATAAACAGTCGCTCCCCTGTTCTTAAAGTACCTAAGATCTTCAGCCTTGTTGATTCCCTGAGGTCAGAATAGCAGACAGACTCTCTGCTACATGCACTGTGTCGTAGTGGCTGTATTAGATCCACCTGCTGCTGACACAAACAGCCTCCAACCGGTAATCATGCGGCTGTAGCTCACCACATGCCGAAAGCAGGCGGGGTCAAGAGGTTCAGCTACTCTGCGGCGTCCGGACGGCCCAGACGGCTGATCTAAGCGACTTCAAACGTGGTGTGATCGCTGCTGCCAGACGCGGCAACTCCCGCGTCTCGGAAACGGCCTCCTTCCTCCCATCCTGACACGTTACGGCAGTTTGCAGAAAATAGCACAATGGACGTAAAAAAAGGCTCCCGTTCGATGACATTTCTGCGGTTGAATAGACCTTGTTAATGGCCACAATGTCACAAGTGTGCAAATAACAGCTCAGGACAACAGCGGGGTGCAGAAAGGCTTCTCTGAACACGTTAACTGGGATAGGCTCCAGGCTTGTTACCCCATCTGCCCTTGGTGCATTTCCTGAGGCAAAAGTCGATCCTTCGTAATACTAGCTAGGTGTACCTAAGTTGCATTTATTTATTTAGCATTTATTTATTTAGCCGATCCTTTCGTCCAAGGCGATACGAAAGTGAGAAAGGCATGGGGGTGACTCTCAACGTCAGCCAAAATCCAGCCCCCCCCCAGGCGCGATGGGGGTTACGGGCCTCGCTTACGGGCCCAACAATGAAATGATTATAATATGGACTTTCACAGAGGGGGATAGTTTCTCTATTGCAAACCCACGGAACCACCCCCACTGACTGTGACCACAGAGCACATATACTTTTCAGACAGACACCACAGTTAAATACGTACAAATATAGGCTGTTTTCAGTGGTCACAACAGATTTCTGAAGCTTGTGAGAAGGCCTGCCCTCCCCAGTCCACGAGCGACAGGCGTTTTCATGACCCAGCAGTGTGGATTTGTTATTTTTGTTGATTTAATGAAATCGTTCCAGGCTACCCACAGAGTAATTGGGCTAAACAAGTTGCTAACAGTCGATGGCAAGAATTTCATCTGTTTTGTTGTTAAACATTTAACACGTTTGTTTGAGGGAGAGGATTAGTGACCACAACTCTGTAGACTAATCATTAGTTAAATACTAGTGTGTGTTTAGCCTTTGGAAAGCTTACAGTACTTATCTGAAATGTTTGTTTGGTCTGGATGGCGTCAACTGGATTTGAAAATATAAATATATCTAGCTTTATTTTTGGGCCTGATGTCACAGCCTCATCCCACACAGTGAGATTTTTTTAACGAAACTCTGTTACTTTCGTTTGGTGGACTATGCTGTGGAGTCCTGCTTAAGTAAATAGTTGAACTGTCAAAATGGAGAGTCCAGTCTTGTCTGATGGTCAGCAGTCTTTAGTTTTCTCTGAGTTATTTATGGATTATGCCTTTCTGGATGCTAAAACTGAAGGAGAGAAAAATCACTCGCCTCGAAAATTAAATTGCATTTACGTTGAAGAGTTATGGGACATTTTAGGCTTTATGGGAGTTTCAAGATATCTAAGAAATTCAGTAATGAAATACGTCTAATTTCAAAGACAGCATTGGTTGAATGAAAGTCAACGGCATTATGCAATCTGAAGGAATCGGTGAATATCCTGGGAAGGCTTTTCCGGACCCGCTTTGGTCTTCACCGTTCTCAGGTTAGCATTGATTTCCTGGGAAGGCTTTTACGGACCGGCTTTGGTCTTCGCCGTTCTCAGGTTAGCGTTGATTTCCTGGGAAGGCTTTTACGGACNGCTTTGGTCTTCGCCGTTCTCAGGTTAGCGTTGATTTCCTGGGAAGGCTTTTACGGACTGGCTTTAAACTTTTCCATTCCAGGTGACATTCCGCACGAGGATCTACCACTGCAACATCAACAGCCAGGGCGTGATCTGCCTGGACATCCTGAAGGACAACTGGAGCCCCGCCCTCACCATCTCCAAGGTGCTGCTGTCCATCTGCTCCCTGCTCACCGACTGCAACCCCGGTGAGAACCACGGGAACTGCCCCCCCACAGAGGAGGTCACAACTCATTTGGCATGTTTACATGGTCCAATTCCAGGTCTTGCCGTATAGTTTACCCCTGATATACACATGTAGCATTTCACGCCCGCATTTTGAACAGCAAGGTGGTTCTTTTACAAACCCCCTCTGTAGCCTCTAACATTCTGGCAGCCTTTGGGGAATAGGGGGAGTGAGGAGGCATGCACACCCCCACACCCCCCCAGCTCCTTTGACAGGAAGTAAATGACCCTCGTTTCTTTCTCCAGTTGGCCCAATGTAGAGAATTACCCCCCCCCCATCCAATCTGTTATCCGTGGATGGAAATGCATGAGAGACAAACCCCACCCCGTGTGCCCTGAAGCTGCTCTTTACACAGGAGGGATGTGCTCATTAACGGGGGGGTGGGGGGGCAGGGAGCAGAATAACAGGCAGTGGTGAATCCCGCACACGGGCACTCCCCGCCTCCCTGTCGCGCCCCCCCCCCCCCCCCCCGCAGCACACGCCTTTGTCTCCAGATAAGCAGCGATACCATCGGCACACGGGTGACCTAGGACTTCCAGGGCAGGCGGATCCCTCACCTCGTCACTGCAGGTCACCCTGCAGATTCCCCGCATATGTCTGTCTCAGCTCGTGTCTCTGTCTCCCGTCCACAGCTGACCCCCTGGTTGGGAGCATCGCCACACAGTACCTGACCAACAGAGCGGAACACGACAGGATAGCCAAACAGTGGACCAAGCGATACGCCACATAGATCCTCGGAGCCACGCCCCCCCCCCAAACCACCACCTCCCCCTTGCTCCTTGCTTCACCAAAACTCGTGTCCCTCCCCCTCCCCTCACTCTGTGAAAGCACACCCAGTCAGTGCGGCCTTGCCCCCCCCCCCCCATCCCTCACACCTTTTCTTTTTGTGAAAAGAATCGTCCTTTGTTCCTTGTTGACTTGAAAGCTTCTTTTTATACAAAGAGCAGACTTGGATTTTATTTTCCAACTCACTGAATGTTGAAACTGTCATAGAAAAAAAGCTTGATGATGATGATGATTATTATTATTATTATTATTGTTGTTATTATTATCCAGCTGAAACGTGTTTCCTCTCCTTTGAAAGTGACAGCAGGGACATTGCAGGTGATATTTTGTTTCCATTCTCGCCTAGTGTTTAGAATGAGTTTTTTTTTTTATGAAGTCATTTATGATTCACGTCCGCAGGAAGATGATGGAGATTTAATTTTTTACCCGACGCGCGGCGTTCGAATACACTATCCGAGCTCTACTTTCCTAATTTTTTAACGTATGTATTTTTTTTAAGATGGCAGCTGCGGAGGTGTCCGTCTGCCTGGTGTAGAGAGACGGCTGTGTAGATTTTTCTCCTGCCTGCTGCGGTTTGATGACAAAGCTGTTTGCTGTACACTCGCCTTGTGGACGCGCTCAATAAAACACTGGCCAAACCTGAACCCCAGAGTCTTCTTGGCTTTGGTCATTCTTTGGTCTCTTGATGCACTTCCAGCAGCATTATGTGTGCGATTCCGAGGTTAATCGGGAAGGACAAATGCATGCGTGAACTACAAGGAGGGTCCAGCTCTCCTTCTCCTTCTGGTTGGTGCAGAAGTTTTACAAAATGGAGCTCAGGAGTAAACATGGGGTCTCCTGCCAGATGGGGCCGCAATTAAGCTGTCGACTGAATAACGAATCTGAGGTATGAAAGCAAGAACCAAGAAGAAGCCCATCGATGCAGGCCGGTCTCTCTTTACGGAGGAACCCGCACATGTTCTTAACTGTGACATCACAGCTTACTCTCCATGGAGACGGAGCATCACCTGTGTCATTTTATAAAACTTTCGGTGTTCAAACAGTTCAGTATTAAAATAATACTCAATATATTCTGTGTACTTTGTAATGTATATTTTCTGTTGTACAGAAGTGGTCTGTTAAATTTGGTTTTCCTTGAAAAATTAAAGATTTTTTTTTAAGAATACGCTACCAGCATACTTATGCAGTTTTATTTTTTTGCATGATCAAAGGTATTCACTTTCTCTTTTTTTATGAAACCCACTTGTCTGTAGCGTTTCCCTTTAGTTCTCTCTGCGTTTGGGAAGATGAAGGCTAAAGCCACAGAGTCTGCCACCTCTTCTGAAGGACGTAAGATGGCCTTTTGATTGTCGGCTGGTAGCTGCAGAGATCTGGCTCTGTGGGGAAACAGGCAGCAGTAACATGCAGCAGTAACAGGCAGCAGTAACATGCAGCAGTAACATGCAGCAGTAACATGCAGCAGTAACATGCAGCAGTAACATGCAGCAGTAACATGCAGCAGTAACAGGCAGCGTTTTGCTTTTTTTCTGAAAGTGGTTCCTGGTGAAACCCTCAGAGAAGCTCCTCCTGAAGCCCATTCCATCCCTGCTAACACACTTTCAATCTAGGAACGTCTACCGAACGTTACGATTAGAGTATGAAACTTTCAAAGTGTCCAGTTTTCCAGATGTTTCAGGAACATTATCCCACTACTACAACTACAACATCTAAGAATAATAATAAACATAAATAATAATAATAATAATAATGATAAAAACAGATAAAGGGCTGCAGGTGATACTGGCACTATGACGGGTTCAAGGCTGGATGGCACCCCTATAAAATAATATTTTATTATAAAACAGCATTTTTCAACATTAATTGTGTTAAAAGGATGGTCAGGTAATATTTTTATCGTGCTGACATTGACAGAACCTTTGTTAAAATATAAAACATGGAAATAGGGTTCCGTTGACAGTACATTAAGAATGTTCCTTGCCAACTTTGCAAAGACCTTCACATGACATTGAGCAAAGTTTTGGGAATGTTCTCCGTTAGCTGGGCTGCTCCCAATCATCTGGATCTTCGGCGTTCCTGCTTTATCGGGGTTAACGGCAAATCCGGTGTGGCCTCGTGCACCAAATGGGTCTCCTGTTCCTCTCGGCTGCCTACCGCCGTAAGCTGAGCTCTCTGGCAAGATGTCAAGGTCCCCTAGTCAGGGCCACTGTTCACTGTAGGCAGCAAAAGCACTTGGACCCCAAATGACTTACATCATGGAGGAAGTGCAGTGAACGTCGGTTTTCTTGGTAGGTAATGTAATGCTTTGCCTCGGGCCCCTGAAAGGCTAGAGCCAGCTGTGCCCTTGGTGTCGCCTTTTCCCTCCACCCTGAGCTCAGCATCGAATTGGCGATCGCACACTGATGCCAGCATGCGCCTTGCCCAGGCCTAGAGCTGACACACATGGGTCTGCCTCTGTAACACATGCTTGTAATAAACATCAACTGGCATGCAGCTGTACAGATGCAAGCTCTACATCACAGTCCAGAACACCTACTGAGAACAGCCTTATTGTCTTCATGTGTTTTGTGGTAGCTTTTACTAAACCAAAGGTTCCACCTTCTAGAAATTAATTTTCCAGCAGTGTATGGCACAGTAACTCGGGACTCTGTACCCATGATCAGAATGTTGCCGGTTCAAATCCCAAAGCTGGCAGAATGGTTTCATTGTTAGATCCTTGAGCGAGGTCCTAAACTCCAATTGCGCCAGGAGATGGTTGAATATGTAAACGTATTCCTTCTTGTGCTTCATCTTGCCATAACTATCCAGATCACTGACAACAGACTTAATTAAGCGTCAATTCACCTGAGAATAATTATTGATATGAAGGTTAATTTCACAGTCACGATTTCCACTGATTGAGCCGATGTCCTACGTGATTCATGATATGCACAGTCATCCGGGCACTGAAGAGCAGGATCCAACTTAAAATTTCATAGAAGAACCAGACATTACCTGCCACCTGCTGTTGATTTTGACCAGCATTTACAAATGAAGCACGTGGAGGATTCCAACTCAAATTTCATGTCACTGTAAGTACTTAATTACTGTGATTTCGTGGGATGTGAGTCTGTCTAATAGGTCTCCTTGTACCACAAGCAAAATGTCTATCACCATGCAATTTTATCAACATATCAACCGTGTGACCAGGAATTCACACGTAAGCAGCAGGAATGTGATCGCTGAGGCAAACTCAGCTTTACGATCAAAATTTTCAGGGGAACTCCTGTGGTGAAGGATTGAAGGTGGTGGATGGAGTGAGGATCTGACTTCCAACTGCCCCTAAAACTGACTAAGTAGCTCGGCTGTTAATCAGCTGGTAAACTTGACGTTAGAAGAGGAAACACTCTGGTGGAAACTCCCAGGAGCGTGTCAACCAGATAACACGTTCGCATATCCTGGCCTAACAGGCTTTAAATAGCATAGCCCTAAATTTTCATTTTTGTAACTCTCTAGTGATCCAGGTTCAAGGAATGGCAGGCGGAAATTTTGTCTTGATACACTCAGGGACGTATCAAGGAATTCTGGGACCCCTTGGTACATTTCACTGAGGGGGGGGGCAGATTGTCATGTCCCCCTTGCTAAAATCTTGCTAGATTGGTAGACTGTGGGTGTCCTCCAGCGTAGGGCCCAGGAAAAAAACTGAATCCCCCCCCCCCTCCCAGGCAACAACCCTGAGTACAGCAACAAGTGAAGAGAGACGGATTCATCTATGCAAGAGACTGTCTGTGTGTGTGGCAGGAAGTGCCGATGGTGTTGCTGTGATAGAGCGACTTGGAATCGAGACAGCATCAGCTTCCCTCCTTGTGGTCCGAAATTCCCAGCTGTTCCCCACCTCATCAAACAAGTGAACATGCCAAGGAGCGCATGGAGGAAAGAAGCAGCCTGCCTGGAACAGGTGCAGTGCGGTGGATGATTTAAAAAAAAAAATAAAAAACTGACAACAACAAAACTGAACCATGCACAGTTTAAATATCAACACATATGTGGATCTTGTACACACCTACCCCTCATTTTCTGAAGACCTTGCTACATTGATTTATTAGATTACATATCATAGGCTCCCATAATTTGCAGTCACTGTGAAAAATTAAACATACAACAGGCCCTTCTCCTTAAGGCGAAAAGATGCCATCCACCAAAACAAGGTCTATTTAGTAATGCCAATTAAGTGACTTCTTTTTAACTGAAAGCACGCTTAATGCATAAGCAAGAGGACATCGGGTATTCGTGAGTAATCATCTTTAAAGGATATTTTGCCCGATTTAAGGGGGTGGAGGTATAAAATTCACAATATCTCGTATTATAGCTAGGTTTGGAGCCTCATACGGTCCCCCCTCTGCCCCGATCGCGTCCAGTCGCCGACTCCGACTCCATAGCTTCAGCAAGCCGCTGCGGCACTTCCGCTCCGTGAGGGAGAGACTAGAGACACGCGTCCAGGCGGCGGAGGCGCACAGACACAAAGAAAGGTAGCTAAACCTCTCCGGGACCAAATGCCCCCGTACCTTCGCCACTTACGATTCGTCCACCGGCCCCACCGGGCAGCCGTATCTGCGGGAAATCGGGGCGTTAGAGGGGGGATTAGATCGCGTGTGTGATTATAGCGGTCGGGAAAAAGGAAATGAGAAAAGGCTCCGACCGATGGAGGCGAAACGGAGTCCCGTTGTATCGAGTTTTAAAAGGCGAGAAGAAACAATGTTAAATGTATGCATGCTCGGGGGATTAAGCTTTGCGTTTTTGTCACACGGGAACAAGATCGCCTTTGTGCTGCCGAAAATGTGAAAGTCCTGCGAAGTGTTAACTGGTTACTGTAACCAGACAAGTGAAGCGTTTCTGAGAATGGATGCGACAGCAGCCCGATCGGATTAAATTTCTTCTTCAGATGAGCCGATTTATGTGCCGGGATTGAGCGCATTTGTCGGCTTTGCTTTGAAAAATGGCTTTTATTTGGTCGCCATCTCGCTTTATTCGGGGCTCGTCCCTGGCTTGGCACCGTAAACACGGGCGAGCAGCTATACTAGTTTTGAAGTAGGGCAACTTCGGGTTAAGGGATATTTGCTCCATGAACGGGCGCCCGATGGTCCGCCGTGTTTCTTCTTGCTGCTTTTTCGGGCGTCGGGTTTCGTGTTTTGAAACTGCAGTTGATAAGCCGAGCTTGAAGCTAAAGGTCACAGCCTGTCAGGTACACGAGCTCGGTTAGGCTGCGCGCCGGGGGCAGTTACACATCAAGCCGGGTTGGCCGCATGCGTTTCTCTCGATGTCTTTTTCACTTAAAAACTTCCTCCACCTCCTCCTCCCCCACATCAGGCTGTTGGTTCCCTTGCGTTTCGAGGGTGTTTGGAGGTCGGTATGTCGGATGAAGACTCGCGTGCCAGTACCAGTTCTTCATCATCCTCCTCATCCTCGACTCATCAAGACCGACACAGAGACACGCCTAGCAAGAAACGGGAGAGCAAAGGCAGTATGAGCAAAAACTCCAAACTCCTCTCCACCAGCGCGAAAAGGTAAACATTACTGAGGAGGGAGGTGGGGGCAGGATATGTGCCCCCAGCGTGGGGAGGCACGGCTCCGGGGTTGCTCTGCAGCGCCGGGCTTGCGGGGGGGATTGCGTGTGGCAGTCAGTTAAACAGAGTGTCGCCGCCCGGAGCAGATTCGTGCTTCTGAATCGGATCCGCCCCGCAAAGCCGTGCTTAACGGATAAATAAAACGCCGAACCCCAAGAGTTTTTCCCGATCATTTGCTCGGCGGCCGCGTCTCCTTTAAGAGACGCCGCTTCCAAATGGGGGGGGGTGGCTCATTTGCATATTAACTTAAACAGCTCATTGTTTAAATTAGGAGAAGTCGATCGGGGAAATTCTCCTGAATGGTGTGTCTTGGGACCGCGCATTTTGGCCCCAGGTCGGTTTCAAACCAGTGCTGACCACTGGGGGTGTGGGGATGATATGACGGCCCTTTAAAACGTACCTAAATTTAGAGTCTGTGGGAACGGCCATGTTGTTTTCCATGTCAGCCAGAAGCTCTAGGTGCCGCTAGACACATGGGAGGGGGATTTAAAAGTGAAACACTGAAACATTTTTTTCATGTCTCCCACTTTTTGTTGCATTTTCAGGATTCAGAAGGAGCTGGCAGATATTACGCTGGACCCACCTCCCAACTGCAGGTACCTCTCAAATGCACAAGTAAAGGTCCTATTCCCCATTCACTCCCCTATAGATTTCTGAGGTGCGGACACAGATATGTCCTATCCGGTCTGAAAGGATTTCATGCGCGTAAATGCAGCTTCTTCAACAGGGGCTGCCAATTTCTGAGGGCCGAATGCTGGAGTTGAAATTGGCCACCCTGCCGTAATACTAATTTTGATTTAATAGGGAACTAGTCTAATATAAATCATAGGCAGTCTATATGTGCGTTCTCTGCTTTTGCTTAATTTTACCTGTAAGACGTGACAGGAATGGCTTTTGAGAATTAAAAGTTTGCATTACATTTGGTAATTTTTACTTTTTTGGTAATTTTTAAGCTTTAAAAAGCCATTAAAAACGTTTTAGCGACGAGGCTGATATTGTGGTCGTTGGCAAAGGCATTAGGCAGGAGGTGAGTTAAGACGATTCCAAGGGTCCCTGCTTGAGAAGGGGCCTAAAAATTTGGAAAATAACTGGATTGGTCTGGACTGGGGGGCCCAGTGTGATATACCTTCATGGGGAAAAATTTCTAGCAACACCCCTGGGCATAGGAGACTGTTTGATTTGGGGTGGGCACTTAATACTTTAAATGTAAAATCGATCTTATTATTATTATTATTATTATTATTATTATTATTGAAGGGCGAATTAAACCTTGTCCTTATCGTGAAACTTGTTGAATTTTCACTTAAACCTACTGTGAATTTTCACCCAGCTGACAGGCTTCCTGGGGGGGAAAAAAAAATCTACCACATTTTTTGTGGTTCAGCAGTGAGGTGCCATATGTGTAAATGTAAAATGAAATACAGATTGCTAGGTTAGTGGTTAAGTTTAGTTTTCTTGCATAACAGTTAGAAAAGGGTATGTCAGTGTTGTCTAGTTAGCTTTGCTTTTCAGAAAATGTTTCCATATGCAAGCTTACTGCAATCAGAAGTGTTCATGTCCTAGCGAAACGGCAAACGTTTTAATGGGTTTAAATATCCGCGTATATGCAATTGAAGGTAATATCTGTTTATCCCTATTTACTTTTGAGTTTGCGACAAGAGCCCTAGTGCACTGCGTGTTTGTAAAGGGATTTTCGTATTAGTGTTCACATGGCGCTCACGCGCTGGTTATGTTACAACTGTATATGTAAGTGGGAGGATTTCTGTTATTTTGGTTAGGCCTGCAGTTTTGGCCATTCTGACTTATGCGTGAGGGCTGTCTGCCTTGGCATCGTGCTCCTCAAGGTTCCCCCATTTTGGGATTAAGGGGGCATTCTTCCCAAAAGCGAAAAATGTGATATGCGTTGCACTTTTTTTTGGGGGGGGGCACCCTGCACCAACCTGGAAACCGCCGAAACCATTTCCTGCAATGACAGACGACAGGCCAGGCAGGGTGAAGGCAATGTGCTGACGTAGAAGACGAAAGGGCAGCTTTGAAGACGCCACCACTTTTTGGCACGTTTTCGGGCAGCGGTTCTGTTTGGCCCGGTCCGGCTCCCATTCCTTCTCCGTTTAAAATGCCTTCATTCCTACCGGGTTGCACGGTGCGGTCCGCCGTCGTGCGTTGACTTTCATCAGCTGGGTGAGGCGTGCTTCTCCTACTCATCCTCGCCGGTAGATATTACAGGTTAAACCTGTCGGCAGGATACTGATCGCGCTGTGGAATTCTCTGCGGTAACATGTGCAAGTCGATGGGTGAGGGCCGTGGTAAGGAATGCATTTGACATCCGTCATAGCCTTTAAATCTGCGGGTCCTCACACCTCTGTTGTCATAGCGGGGATTTTTGCGAGCATTTTCCTCGTTTTTGTTTCTTGCTTACATGGTTTTAAAGTGAAATGCAGCCTAAAGGTTTGTTGGAGGCGGTTTGTGTTAATTATTGTTAAAAGGCAGGAGCCGCTGGGTTGTGTAAACGCTGGCGTCCCGAAAGCCCGAGGGAGTGGAGTGGGGTGCGGCTCGAGGCCGGGATTAATCTCGTGGCGCTCGCGGAGTTCAGCGCGTGCGAAGTATGCGGCACGCGCTCAGTGTGGCATCGCTGCGCGACATCTGCCATCCGGGCCCCAGCCCCCCCCCCTTCACCTCGGGGACACACCCTCACCTCCCTCCCACTGTTACTCCAGGTCTGTGTGTTCCCGCAGCCCAACATGTTCTCATCGCCCATAAACGTCGTACCTGTTATTTATTTACACATTCACTGCAGAACTGGAAATGCGCTCATTGGGCATTAATCAGAGAGGCGCGCACCCGCAATTTCTGACTGCTACTCCGTGGAATGACTTTACTAGCGCGAAAGGAATGTCTTACTAATCTTGTTTGCGTGTTCCTGGCACCGGACGGCCGCCTTGTGCCGATTCAGGCATGCCGCTAGCATGTTGCATGTGACCCGTTTGCAATTATAAGGTGTTAAAAGTTTGAGGTAAATAGCACTCGCTATCCTCGCTGAGACCTGAGGTGGGGCAGCCGTTCGGATTATTGGGTGTAGAATTGCCCAGGGGGGAGTATCGCAGGTCTGTCGTTTATTTGCTTTCCTATTTTGGCTGCTTTGGACTTGGATAACCGATTTAACTCTGTAAATTTGTGGAAGTTATTTACAGGTTCAAATACATGGCTCATAGAAACAACCACAACCACGTTTCCAATTTTGTACGTCTGATTGCATGCATGTGTTTGCATTTCGAACGCATAATTTTTAGGTGAATAAAAAAAAAACTCGCTTGTACAGGTATGTATAATATACTCCTTTGAATGACCTTCTGGAAATGGGATCTCAGGAAAGTGAGGACAGCTACTGGAAGCCTTTCCTCTTCCTTTGGTGGCGGTTCTTGGCAGTATTTCTGGGTTGTTGCTTTATGGTACCTGTGGGTCCCACTTTCCCTTTGGGTGTTTTTTTTGCAACGATTGCTGTCATTAATTAACCCTTAGATACGGGGTTATGTGGTTCTTCCCTCTGCATGAAGACGAATGGAATATTTTGTTAACATTTCCATCTGTTATGATGGACACCATTGTTTTTTCTTTTAAGTATTTGCATAGTGTCTAGGTGTTATCAGAGGCACAGGGACGGCACAGGCAGGGCTGGCCTGGGGCCCCGAGCGGGGAGGGGGCCCCCCAGGGCAGTTGATTATAGTACATTTCAGCGACAAATCTGTGTATTCTGCCTTTTAGAAAAATGAAAATAAAGGTCTTGTGTTTTACATTATTTGTTGATCTTCACACTTCACAGTCATTTGACCATTGCCATGGGAGGGGGGTTTGGGGGCCTCTCTGGAGTCTCTGGAATGGCTTCTGGGTGTGATTTGGATTTGTCTCCTGTTTTTACACTGATGGGGAATCCCCTCTGATGGACAGTGTGGTGTTGGTGTACACACATGCGGGTACACGCTGGAATCCACACCTTCAGCCATTCCCACCTGTTGCCTGCGATGAGCTTAGTGATTTTAAGTTGTGCCCAACATACCATCATGAGATGGGATGCTGAACACAGAAGGCCTGTTTGCCTCCTTATCTTTGCCCATTCATGTGCAAATGAGCTTGTCTTGCACTGTAAGGCTCCCCTTCCAGGATTTATGGGGGGGGGATGCAAATGTGTGCATTGACCTTCGGGGGGGGGGGCTTCTGCCACGTGATGTTTTGTAGGGCGACGCCTTTTGGGAGCCACTGTTTGCACTGCACTGTCCCCAGTTCACTGCAGGCAGTGGGGGCCTTTTCGGGAACCAAACAGATTAACTTTGTGAAGTGCTTCCATGCGCAAGTGAGCCGACTTGGGCTTATTGCCTAGCGACGGACGTCTGGCACGCGTGACGCCTCCAGACTTGAGTGAGTGAGACTACAGGTTAGGTGAGGGAGAGGCTGAATATTGTATGGGGCTCTTTGTGTTTTTAGGGCCCGATTACAACGTAGGTGGAGGGAAGGGTGTTTATGAAATGATGCGCAAACATGCTCATCCACCCGAGGCGTGCGATTCTGTGGGTCCCGGGCCGGGCCAGGGGGGTGTCCCGAGGCGTGCGATTCTGTGGGTCCCGGGTTGGACCGGGCCAGGGGGGTGTCCCGAGGCGTGCGATTCTGTGGGTCCCGGGTTGGACCGGGCCGGGGGGGTGTCCCG